ATAGATAGATAGATAGATAGATAGATAGATAGATAGATAAAAGTGCATTGCTAAGAGAGGAGAGTTCTCAAGTTTCCTTTTCAACCCAAAATCCGGAAAATTCCCGCGCAGCCACATCCTGACTTCCCAGCGATCCCTGACCGATCCAGCCTGCCAGGCACCCGCTCGCTGGAGCAAGGCGGAAAGGTCCCGGGGGCTATTGACTTGGGAGCGCGTGTTCCGGCACTCCAACGATCTTCTGCGAAGCGGGTCTACATCGACTCGGCCAGCCAAGCCACCCGGGCGGGCTTCCAAAAGCCAGCAGGGGGGCAAAGGACGGAGGGGGGCGGGAAGAGGCGGAAGCCGGAGAGGGTGGGAGGGCTCCAAAGCGCCCCCCCCCCGCGCTCCATCCTCCCGTTGCCCACAGGAGGCGGGGAGGCAGAGATCGCGGGGCGTCCGGACTTCTCTCAGGCAGATCCGAGCCCGCTGCAAACCCGTTGGAGTTGTTGCCTGGCAGGTCCCGCCGAGGAAAAAGTCAGGAATGTGGAAGGTCCTGGCGTATCTCTTGCTGCCCGCCTGGTCAGGGATGCAGCCGGGGGTGCTGGGCAAGGGGGCCCCGGAGCGCTCTCAGCATCGCCTGCAACACGGATCCTGCACCTACACGTTCCTGCTGCCCGAGCTGGGAGGCTGCGACGGCCCGGCGGCTGCTCCTGCTGCCGCCCCGTTCCAAGTGTCCAACTCGCTCCAGAGGGATGCGCCGCCCTTGGCCGAAGCCCAGTGGCCCGTCCAGCGACTGCAACAGCTGGAGACCGTCATGGAGAACAACACCCAGTGGCTGCAGAAGGTGGGGGAAGAGGAAGGCGAGGGTGCGAAGGCCGAAGGACCGGGGCAAAAGCTGCAGGGATCAGCCCCTGGGGATTGGCGGGGAGGGGGGGGTGGCGCTGTGGAGAAATCTCTCTCTCTCTCTCTGTGTGTGTGTTGTATGCACTCAGTTGGCTTGGCTTTGGGGTGGGTGGGTTGTGGAGGAGTGAAGAACATGGTGTCAACTCAAAACAGTCCATGGTCTGGCGCAATGTCACAAAATTAAGATTCCTTACAACCAGGG